ATCTAAATCACTGGTGCTGCTTTTCAGAGATTTTTAATTTAACCCCACAAAAGCAAAGAATTTCATCACCACCCTTTTGTGTCAAAGTATTGAAGCATGCTCACTATTCAAAGCTCCCATGCTTAGGCACAAGCTTAAAGGAATAAACACTAGTTTCGATCTTAACTCTCAGAGGGGTAGTCATCTTAGTTATCTGCAAAAACAATTAGGAGTCCTGTGGCATCTTAAAGGACTAGGGGTATGTCTACACTACCCCGCTAGTTCGAACTAGCGGGGTAATGTAGGCATACGGCACTTGCAAATGAAGCCCGGGATTTGAATTTCCCGGGCTTCATTTGCATAAGCGGGGAGCCGCCATTTTTAAAGCCCCGCTGGTTCGAACCCCATGCAGCGCGGCTACATGGGGCACGAACTAGGTAGTTCGAACTAGGCTTCCTAGTTCGACCTACCGTTACTCCTCGTTACTACCTAGTTTGTGCCCCGTGTAGCCGTGCTGCACGGGGTTCGAACCAGCGGGGTTTTAAAAATGGCGGCTCCCCGCTTATGCAAATGAAGCCCGGGATTTGAATTTCCCGGGCTTCATTTGCAAGTGCGGTATGCCTACATTACCCCGCTAGTTCGAACTAGCGGGGTAGTGTAGACATACCCTCACAGATTAATTTGGGCATAAGCTTTCGTGGGTAGGAACTCATAGATGTGAGTGAGTAGTGGAGTCAACTACTCAACTACGCGCTTCTCCCCTGCCCCTGCCCTTGCTGCCTCTATCCATGGTGCTGCCTCCTCCCAACCTTCCCCCCCATGCTGCTGCCTCTGTCACAGATGCAGTGCTGCAGTTGCACTGTTGTAGCACCTCTGTGTAGCCTCTCATTACAGCCACGCAAAGGGTTCTCCTTTTGTAGTTAATTCACCTTCCCAGGAGGCTGTACCTAGGTTGACAGAAGAATTTTTATTGACCTATCAGGTTGCCAGGTGTCCGGTATTAACCCAGACAGTCCAGTATTTATAGCCTCTGTCCGGTTTTAAAAAAACAGAAAATACCGGACATGTTCAATATTTTTTGTGAAGATACCTGGCAACCCTATTGACTTAGCACTATTTGCACCAGTCGTTAGATTGGTTTACTGATCTCACGCAATCCACCCACACCCTTGATGGATGTAGATGGGTCAACTTAACCTTTTAGTGTAGATGTGGCCTTAAGCTGAGCATGAATTGGCAGAATGGAATAATAGTCCTCTCAAACAGAGCTCAATTTTGGACCATTAAGAGACAGATAAAAGGTTTCCTGTGAGTTTTGCCTTAGTTGTAAAAACAAAAAATATTTTTAAAAATAACATTTTTAACAACTTCAAACCAAGAAATAAATAAAAAGCACATGCAGATATCATTTAAAGGATAATAATACATTGGAAATGCCAATAAGGTGCTAATTTTATTTTAAGTTTTTTCAGTCATGTGTGTTTAACTTGGAAATCCCATGCTTCTACAAAGTCCAGGACTTCAAAAGCCATTGTTGCTCTATTCTGATCAAACTGCTGCTTTTGTTCCTAGAGTTAATGAGTTTATACTGTCCTGCAGAGAGAATTGACACCAGCCTCTAATAAATGAAAGCAAGCCAAATGCTATAAGATCAGAGCTCTAAAGTAATTATAAGTTGATTAAATGTTTATCTTCTTTATAGGTGGGAAGGAAAGAATGAAAATGAGGTAGGCCGATGCAAGGAGACTGGCAAGATTCATGTGAAAGTTGATCACAAATACTACAGGCCAACTGAAGTGGTAAGACAATGCCTACTCTCAGCTTTGCAAATGAATAATCCAATCACTCAGCTAATATATTGCTGCATTTGGCCAGCTGTCTGTGAAAATGGTTCTAATTGCACTCCTGCTGCCTGCTTTCAAATGCTCTAAATTAGACTCCTCATCATTCCCCATTCCCCCGCCCCAGCAAGTTACCGAAAAACAAACAAACATCACAACACAAGAATAACAAAAAATCTGGAGGGCCACATTTGTAAGGCAATCATTAACACAGCTGCAGTGTTAAAGCTACTGTCCTTGCATGGGACAGAAGGAGCATGTGGGAAACACAAGGAAAAGTCCAATCAGACAGTTCTCTGTTTATTTAAAATGCAGTATTTGATCTTTTCTTTCTTGTTGGGAAAAAATGAACAGAAATGTGATGAGATATTTTCATTTAAAAATATTTCCTCCATATGTTAAAAAAATACTTTGTAGCTTAATCTATAAATTATCTCATGAATAGCCTGGGTAAAATTCCATTTTTTGTGACCTTTGATAGAGTATAAAAGTTATGACATACTTATTTAAAAATATATATATATTTTCGGGTTCCGTTTAGCAAAGTCTTACTCTCATAAGTAACTTTATTCACACGAGTACCTCTGTTGAAGTCACTGAGAATTCCCATAAACATGGGCTTCAGGATTGGGAAAAAATGTGCACGCTTATTGAATCCTGAACTTGTGATAGAAAAAATTAGTTAATGATTTGTATGCAGGTGAGGCAATGACAGTAGATGATGCTGGCATGAGGCACAGCCCAGGTTTTTTATACACAGAGAATCATTGTCCACTATATTAATTGAGAGTGGGTGTGCCCAAGAAAGGATGTGCTCTCATCCTCCTGAGGAGGATACTACCAGCCCTGCTGTCTGCTGCCATTGCATCAACTGTCAGTGGGCCCATTCAGAATTGCTGGCATTAACTTCCTGATATGAGTGAGGTGCTGCAAGAGCACAGTTGTCTTTCCACAGATCTCATGGAGAAAAAAAATAGCATGTTTATAAATGAACAACAGTTCCAAATTGAATATTCAAAGAGGAGAAACATCATCGTGAGTAACTATTTTAAATGGCTAGTCTCTTACACAAAAACCATTTCCAAAGCTACAAAGTGAGTGAGAATTGGCTGTCATTATTTAGTCGGGCACAGTGCTGGAGTGATATGAGGGATATAAAGTCAAAGGGACTTGAAGAGTAAAAGGATCCAACAAGTCCCTCACTTTCCTGCTTTGTCATCAGACCTTCCCAATACTTTTCTCTTTACTTGCAAACACACATTCACCACTCCACCCTCCAACTCAGTGGAATTCTGAATTTGCTTCAGTGACCTTACCCTGGTTCTGTGTTACTCCATGTGTTTGCTGTTTTCTGTGTGAAATGGTTCTGTTCACGATCTCTCCTCTGTGCCCTTCCCTGCCTCTATTAAAATTTGGAGCACTCCCAGACTTTTCTGGGTCAGAGGCACATGTGATTTGAGACCCCCTCGACTCCAAGAAAACCCCAGAATGAATTGTAATTAAACTCTGAGCTTAATAGTGAATTGACAGAAGCTGTTAAATTTCATGATAGGCATGAAAGAAGAAGCAAGTTGTGGGATACCAACAGAGGTTTATCGAAACTTGGGAAAGGACAGAAGTTTGTTGTTTTACTCCCAATTAAAGTTCATCCATACTTATTCAGAGCAGCCAGCAAAACATGTAGGGCTTCTGCAGGGTTGTTCATAAAATCGTGGGTCAATATAACTTAAAATCTATAGCATTTCTCACAGCTGCTAAGATTTGGTCTCTAATCTCAGGATCCTTTTGGCACTCCACAACATCCCCTGGCATTGAATTCCACAGGTTGGCAATGTGTTGCATGAAGAAGTACTTAAACATTTAAGCATGTGTCTAATATTTTGCATGTGAATGGTATTATGCATGTACTTTCTAATGCTATTTTTAAATCTACTGCCTATTGGTTTCATTGGGCAACCCCTAGCTCTTCTGTTATATAAGGATTAACACTTCCTTATTCCTCTTCACCAATTATAATTGTATAGATCTCCTATTGTATCCTCCCCACCCGCCTTAGTCATCTCAATGCTGCCAAAAAGCAAGGAAACATTATCAAGAAATTAAAGGAATTATTTCACATATCCCTCCATCTTCATTTGAGGACACAAAGCCTCAGGTTGAAATTTTGAAAGCCAGCAATGGGATTTAGGCTTTGTCACATGTTCAAGTTTAAAGTGCTTAAATGCAGCACTGTGATCACGGCATGAGCACTTGGAGAAAGCACCCCAGAGCTCTAGGTAAACGACCTCCATGAAGGGAGTAGCTAAGACTGCACCCAGCGCTGGGAGCCTGCTTACACTGGTGCTTTACAGCAGTGTTTTTCAACCTTTTTTTTTTTATATAAAGTACCCCTTTTTAAAAAAAATTATAAGTACCCTCAGCCCCCCCCGTTTTCAGAGACACAAAAATTTGTTCTACCACACCTCCAGTCCCTCTGCTCTAAACCAGTGCCCCTCCCCTTCCCCAGAGCCAGGCACCGGACATATGGTAACTCTAACCTTTGAAGTGCCCCCTCCCATCACCCAGCCCTGCCTCCGCAGCTTGTCTGCAAGAAGCAAGTGGCCTGCCAGCACCAGGCTCACTGCGTGGGGGTATGCGTTGCCACCTCAGCCTGGCGCCCTCCTAGCATGGAGCCCAGGGCACCTGCCCCCCTCACTACGCCACTGATGCAGGTGAGAGGTCCTTTGGAGCAAAGCTTATTGTGTCGCTTCACCACCTTTTAGCTCCTCCCACAGTGCCAGGGGGAAGGGGCGATGGGGCGATGGGGTTTTGTTGTACTGAGCTGCTAGCGGGGGTGGGGGTAATGCGCCTCTCTCCCCACTGGAGCACCCGGGGAGGCTGCCGGAGAGGAAATGAACTGAGAGAGGCGGCTATGGAAGTCACTTTTTTTTTCTCCCTGCCCAAACCTGCCCCCCAACTTGGAACTGCCCTGGGTCTCACCAGAGCCGCCACAGCCACGCGCTTTTCCCACCAGCGCTGGGGCGTGTGCACAGAGAGGCTGTTAACGTCCGGGCGCGCGGCTCTGAACATTCAATTTGACAGGCATGTGCTACCACCCCCTCCCCGATCCCCTTTGCAGGGCAAAACCCTGGACATTTTTTTACCAAATTTCACTTGAGGTACCCTCCCTGACTTCTCTTGCGTACCCCTAAAGATACGTGTACCAGCGGTTGAGAAACACTGCTTTACAGCACTGTATCTTGCTGCACTTGGGAAGGGGATTACACCCCTAAGTGAGTAAGTTACAGCACAGTAACTTGCCACTGTAGACAAGTCCGTAGTCACACTGCTCCGCTTGAAATTAATAGGAATTTTGTGACTACATCCCAGGACTGGGTTTGAATTTATAAAGCTGAAACACTAATCTTTAATGCAGAGAAGCTTTTTTTCTTTTTTAAGGTTAATTTAATCTGAAACGTACAAATGGCCAATGATACTACATACCGGTCAGACTGCATGGACGAGTGCATTTTTTAAATGTGCTTATTCCAGTCAGTTAGCACTCCCTAGAGTCAAGGCCTCTTTTTCAGTGCTGTGTTGAAAAGCTTAGTGGCTGTAAGCATCCATCCACTGAAGACAAAACCTTGAAATGTGACACTATCTTCTGTTTGAACTAAGTAAACATTGTGAATGCCTTGCCTCTAAATCTGCTGGCTGTCTTTGGATACTGTAGCCTTTGACTACTTTGGGGCCCCGGGTACTCCACTAGCCTTGGGAATTTTCCCCTTCTGACCCTCCCTGCCCCCCTTGCTGACCACAGACCTAACAATACCATTTCTTTCCATTTGTGTTCTATCCCTCTCAGTGTCCAGTCTGAAATTTAAAATAAAATGTATGGACTCTATAGGCTCATGGCTACCAGGATTTTTGTACAATTTGTACCCTTTTCACCTTAGTGTGTCACAAATTCGTTCTCTATGGGTTTGTGGCCTTTAAGTGTCCTGTGAGTGTGTTTTGAAACAGCATGCTGTCTTTTTAAGCACTTGGTCCCTTTGCTAAGAAGTGCATGACTAAAACCCTGTGGACAGCTTTGACAGTCTAGTGATAACCTCCCCTTACTGTTTCATTTACCTACAGATTTCAAATCCCTGTGAGTTAGACCTTGCTCTTTACAATGGGCAAATGTTTAAATGTAGATGCTGGAAATAAAGCACCTTAATCCATTTTTATGTACCAAATAAGGGATTGAGTTAACTACAGCACAGCATTTCTGGAAAATCATGCCTTGCAAATTTAGCTCCCTAACTTTCAGTGCCCATTGGAAAAAATGTTGGCTGTATCTCCCATGTTTTGATCTTTCAGCAAATATGGCTTCTCGTTAATTTATCTTCTTGTGCCCCTATTATCTCTCTTTCTCTTTATACATACACACACACATACTCATATACATATAAAAATGCGTGCATCTCTCTGTGAGTCTATACATCTCGCTGTATGTCTGAATCCATTTGTTCAAGAATTCTTCTAAACAGTAAGAGCTAGAACCACCAAATTTGGTATGCATCTTCCCCTTATCCTTATTTAAAGCAGAGTTAGGATTTGATTGTGCCAAGAAAACAGGAAGTGCTGGGAATAGGACTGTTTGCAATAATATGGAAAGGGAGGGGTGATATTGATGGACAAACACTTGTTGCCTAGTATGATCATCTTCCATGGGAGTTGTAGACTCTCAGGTGACTGATAAGGCCAATCCTGGAACCACAAGTTCTATTACAGTTAGGACAGATGTTTCCAGATACAGCAGGAGGCTGTTGACTATGACTAGAAGCCAGTCCCCACTTCCTCCTGTGCCTCTTCTCCTCCTCACCTTGTCAGTGGGCAAATTCAAAATGCAAGGAGTCATTGTGTAGGTCTTCTCTCCATTTTGAGAGATTCTGGGTGAGTGTCTCTCAAGTATCAACATCAATGTTGCACTTCTT